TACATGTTTTAAAACTAGGAAGACTATTGAATATACCATGGACTTCCAGAAGAATGAACAAATCTGTTCTGGAAGAAGTACAGCTGGAATGCTCCTTAGAAGTGAGGTTGGACAGATTTGATCAGTGGTACTTTGGTCATGTTATCAGGAGGGACCAGTCCCTAAAGAAGGACATCATGCTGGGGTTTCCAAGGTGGCAAATCTTTATGGAAGTAGATTGCCCAGTCTTCCTTCCATGGAGTAGCTGGTGGGTTTGAACGACCAACCTTCCAGGTAGCAGTCAAATGCCTTAGGCACTTTGCCACCAGAGCTCTTTAGTAAAGCAGAGGGTCAGTGAAAAAGAGGAAGACCCTCAATGGGATGGACTGACACAGTGGCTACAACAATGGGTTCAAGCATAGCAATGATTGTGAGGATGGTTGACGAATGGGCAGTGTTTTCTTCTGTTGTTCACAGGGTTGCTATGAGTCAGAGATGACTCGATGGCACATAACAACAATCTTTATGAAATCAGATCACCAGGTCTTTTCTCTTGTGGTGTGGCTGGTGGGTTCAAACCACTAACTTTCTATTTATCAGCCTCAAACTTACTGACTGCGCCCCAGGGCTCCTTGCTCCTTCTTTACTTCCACTTATTCCCCTATACGAGCAAACTTACTTTTTTCTTATTTGGAAGACATTTTCTATCCATCTCTACCAAGCCTCAGTGATGAACAAAAATATTAATAATTGACTTCTAAGAAAAAGAAGAGCATCCGTTGATATCTGTTGACACTGCAGACTGTCAGTCAGGGTTTGGAGGCATCAAGTTTAATTCGAGTTACATTCACCACCTGCAATGGCTCATGCTGCCAACGCCCGTATCTCAACTGCTTATCTAACCTTGACTTTCTCAGTGTGCAGTGATTTAAATATTTCTTACCTTGATTGCTTAATTAAATTCAGACATGGTTCAGAGGCCAGCAAGAGCCCCGTGCAGTTAAAATAATGAAAGTTTTTGAAGTTTTAACTCTAGCAGACTATGAAAAATACAATTATAATTTAACAGAAAGCTTCATACAGTGTAAGTGCAATTTTCTAGGCACTGACAAAGTCAGTCAATCATTACCTGTAATGATGGAAGGATCAGTGATGGGACATAAAGCTTCCATTTTCTAGTCATCAGTTCACACACAAAGCCTACGAGGCCTCTGAAGGATTCATGCAGTGTGCACGTGCATGTGTGTGCATACAAATGCACACCTGTGCATATGCTCTCTAGACATATGCATGTGCACACATGCACACACATGCACATACACCTCACAGATGCACACATACCCACACAGGCACAAGAACACAGATATTCATTCACACACATGCATATGCACATATGCACACACATACACACATGCACATACCTCACAATGCACACATATCCATCCATGCACACGGACACACATGTTCATTCACACACAT